GCCACGTCTAAGGGCAGAAATTAAAAGCGGAGACCTGCAGGGGAAGAAAGATGAGCCTGAAGTTTTTCCTTTCTCAGCACAAAGAAGTCCCACTGCAGACGTGGAGGGGAATGTTTTTACACGTTACTTTTAACTGCACACATTGCGTTCACGGTCATTTCTCTGTCCTGTCCACGTCTGCCAAGACTCGGGAAACTTCTTTGAAAATCGTGAGCAATGGGTAATTTTCCTGGGGGAGACAGGGCTTAGCTGTACCCAGACAGCATCAGGAGAATTAAGAATAAAGCAGCTCATATTCAACTCCTTTCTAAAGGGATTTTAATTAAGTCTTCCGAGAGGGCAAAGGGGAACATATGTGCTAAAACAACTTCTCAGGCTTTGTGTAAAGGAAGGAAATTATCCACTTCTAGCAATAGGTGTCAGCCACCACTGGAGCCAGCCGAGTGCCAAGCACAGCTGCATCGCCCATGCCTGGCAGAGGAACCCTGCTCCGCGCTACCCCAAAAACTTTCGGACACAGTGAAACAGGACATATTCACGTGGCTTGTGGGTACCAAAAGACAAAGCTCTCTGCGCATCAGCAAGGTCACCGTATAAAAATAAAGGAGAATACGAGAGATCGCTGGCATAGTGCGGTCGCAGGACACCCAACAGCTTCCTGACAAAATGGTGACATTTATGTCCCATTTCACTTAAAGCAGAACAAGGAAAAACATCTGGTTTTTTTCTAAGTCCCAAAAGCATATGCACTATTAAGAGCAGACAGATGAGAACCCATCACTATAAAACAGAATCACTGAGGTTGGAAAAGACCCTTGACATCGTCGAGTCGAACCGTAAACCTATAATGCAGAAGTCTGGCATTGGGCACAAACGCTGCCCCTACCAACGCTCTCAGCTCAGAGATCCACGTTATAAGCAAACCCCGAGTCCGAGCGGGTTTCCTACACCCAGATCTGCAATAACAGGTTCACCAGCACCACACAAACACCGCTTCAGGTCTTTTGCTGCAGTGTAAGCACACCCTCCAAAGTTTTCTCAAAAGAGGGCTGTGATTAATATTTACGTATTACAAATACACATTGCTGCAATCCACAGAAAGAGATTACCTTAATTGTTATGTAGTTTTTTAATGACTTGGACATTTTCTCTTGACTTCCTTTAACATGTAAATGCCCTAGAACAAAAAAAAAAAATTAATCAGAATAAATGAGCATACTTCTGAATGGGGAGTGAATGAGAAAGGCTGCACTGAGACACTGGAAACGCTGGAGGCAGCATACGCTGTGACGGATATGTGCCAACCATTTCAACGCAACATGTCATATATTTTTCAGTAGCTCTGCCTACAGTCCTGCACACTTCTCCATCGACAACTTTCTCTGGGTGAATTCTAAAACATAGGAGAATATTTATAAACAAACAAACAAAACCACCAAAACCACAAGACACCACCACCGCGAGCAGAGACATAAAGAAAAAACAAGTCTCCCTGCTGAGAATTTGTAATAAACTGATAAAAACAAACAAGCAAATACTTTCCAGTCTTCACAGAAAAGTACCTTACCTGTTACTCTTTTCAGAAATATTTTAACACCTTTAAAGATCATCCAGTGATCTCACATTACAATATTCTTGAAACTCAAACAATTTTCTGTACCGAGTACTTGGTGGTGGCTGTTACGCTATTTTTTTTCATCCCAAAATTTGTGCTGGTTCAAAATACCTTATGTGTAAAATGTATTTTCTGCACATTCCCTATTTCTCCAGACTTCGGGAGACTGAGAGAAAGAAGGGGGAGGGAGGGATGTAGCTATGATGCCTAATTTGAATTAGCTTATTTTAAAATGCAATCTGGGAGCACTGCTAGAGCTTTCAATAGGTGCACGGACCGCTGGTTCGCAGGGCTGTGGCAGAGGAACACGGCAGCGGCTGTCTCCATCGCACTGAGGGGAGCAGGCAGAGCTCGGCTTCAGGAGTGAAAGTTCTGTCGAAGGGAGACAGGAGGTGGGCAACCTCAGGCTGTACGCTCCCAGCCCTCGTCTGTGCTAGCCAACCGCTGATGGAAAACATCAGTCATTCACGGCACCGGAGAGGTGCCAAACACACAGCCGATAAAAGGCTACCCAGCATGATTTCAGAAATGCTGTTAAAAGCGTTAATTGGCTTCTCCTAATAAAAGGGTAATCCTGCAAGTTACCAAGCACCCACAACTAACACACGGTTTTCAAGCACTTCATGACCTGCAGAATCCAGCACTTCATCGCACTTAGAGGCAGATCTTTAAGCCCGAACTTTTCTTACTCTGCAATACCACGTCAGCGCTCTGCATTCTTTCAGATTTGGCAGCCCAGCGTTACCAAGGCCGCCGAACGCCCCACAAGGACAGTGTACGAGCATCCTTCTGCCTTGCAGGTGGTGGCAGAGGTGCCGTCTCTTGCTCAGCAGCCCAAGCAGCGGCCCCAGCTCTGTGGTACCCTGCGCACAGCGCTGCTTGTGCAGCCTTCCTTGGAACCCCCTCTCTTCCACGAGTGGATAAAATCCCCATTACGCTCGTCTGGATACAAAAACAACACGTTCAGGCCTGGTAAATGGATGTGAAAAGCATCTGGTTTCACTTCTGAGCCATTTCTGACAACGATTTGAAGCAGCAGGGATTCACCGTAAGAAGGCTACCTCTGGTCCTACCCCCACCACCTGGAAATGTAAGTTTGCCCAACACACTCTATGGAGAGTGGAAAAGGAGCAAGAGATCTATGGATACAGAACCAGCTCCTGCAGTAATTTGCAATCAACCCAAAATCTCGTTTTCATCATGTTTGTCCCGAGTGCTAGCAGGTCAGGCTGTTTCACCACTGCATCCTTAAACTCGGGGCTCTCAACAAGAACATTCAGGCTGTCAGAGACACCTGCAGCTCCTGCAACTCAAGTACAACAAGACAAACCTCTCCTGGGAGCAGGGGAAGAGCCTGGGTAGGATCATTATTTTTTTCTTTTGCAAAGGTGCCTAAGTATTGACATATTTAACTTTAGGCAGTCAAGCTTAAAATAGTTTGATTGTATTTTCCTAATGAGGTACAGGTAACATCTGAACTCGAAATAATATTCCTCTTCCAAGAGTTTCAGCACTTAGAATCACTGCATTAAAGAATCACAGAATACAAGGATTTTCATAACTTTGGCTTGGCGCTCTTCCCAGAGTACAAGGAGTCTAAAAATAAAGTTCTTATAAGAAGATTTATCCCCAGTGCAGGGATTTTCTTCCTCTAATGGGGATTGCTCCTCCAGTTCTGAGCCTGCTAAAATTCTGAAGTCTATTACCAGAATAAATTGTTTCCGAAGCAGATTCATTTGCCCTAAATAATTCACACTATCATCCTCCAGCAAAATTTTTTGACTTAATGAATGTAATCTGCCAGCTCCTAGAGAATCTTAGTGTACAAATTGCCCTTGGAACTAAGGGGGTTTTGGTGGTGGTGTTTTGGTTTGGGTTTTTTTGTTTTGTTTTTGTTTTTTTTAAAAAAGTTTTAGTTGTTTTCACGAGTTTGTTTTTTGTTTGTTTAAGAAAAACTGATTCCTCTTTAGTTAGTTAGTTTCAAAGACTAGTTCCCCTATAGTTTCAATGCCAAGCTCGAGAAGCCCGATTCACTGGTTTCCAGCAGAAGCCCCCCGGCAGTAACCAGCGCATCGCAGGGGAAGCGCAGAGAATTCCCCAGCGCTGCAGGAGCAACGCACACCCTGGAGGATCCCCCAGCCTCCAGACAGTTGCTATTGATTTACAACAGGCTCTACACCGGGAACTGAAACTAGAATTCAATATTCATCACATACAGTACAAATACATATAAAAAAGAAAGCTCATATAATTCCCAGAGTGTACCACAGGCTTAACTCTGCAGCTCTTACACTCAGAGAAGCAGCTCAAGGAGTTCACTGAGGCATCTTGCACAAAGAAAAAGAGATGGCGAACTTGAACCCGACTTTCTATTCACTTCAGTTGACCATCCAGAACCATCATGACTGCAATAGGAAGGCCTCCACCAAAGAGAACAGCGCTAGTACCATCAGACAACACTGCAGTTCAAAGCACTGTACAGCACAAACTTCATGGAAGCACTATCACAGAATCACAGAGCGGTTTGGTTGGAAGGGACCTTACAGCCCACCCAGTTCCAACCCCCTGCCACGGGCAGGGACACCTCCCACCAGACCAGGTTACTCACAGCCCCATCCAACCTGTC